AGGGATTAAAGGAATTATTAATTGAACATGCCTAAAATTATCAGGAAAAAATTGCTCAAGGGACAGTTCTAGTATACCACAATGTTACTACCTTCACAAAAAGATGTTGAAGAACAAATATAGTTATAAGGTGATCTTACCAAGTAGGTAAATATTCTCAGGAATTTATTATCAAGCTGCTAGGCAAAAGAGAGAAATTTTCAATCAAATATTTTAGTACGAGGGCTTCCCTGGTGGCACAGTGGTTGAGAGTCCGCCTGCCAATGCAGGGGACACGGGTTCGTGCCCCAGTCCGGGAAGATCCCACATGCCGCGGAGAGGCTGGGCCCGTGAGCCATGGCCACTGAGCCTGCGCGTCCGGAGCCTGTGCTCCACAACGGGAGAGGCCACAGCAGTGAGAGGCCTGCGTACTGCAAAAAATATATATATGTATATATATATATATATTTTAGTACGAGACTTAAAGGCAGTGAAATTTTCTTTTTTCAGGAGTTACTAGGAGGATGAAGAGAGCCAGTTCCCAGAAAGGGCCTGGCACTCATGAATAAGCACTCAGCAGATGTGAGCATTTGTTACTGGAGAGGCAGTTTAGTTCACTGCCTAAGATATGGGACCCGCATGTGCTGCGATCAAAGTCACCTAACGCAAGCATTTCTAAACGTACCTTTTCAAAGTGTTCTCGCCCCACCAAAAAAGTCCTCAGCACAGCGCACATAAACATCACCTCTTGTAGCAACAAATAATGGCACTGTGCCTGTAGGTGTGAATATGTGCCTGTATTTAGGTATTTTAAACATATTTTAAGTAACTGAACATGGAGCCACCTGTCAGAGAAAAGATCAAATTAGGAAACTGGACTTTTAGGATTTACGGTATAGCACAGGGAACTATATTCAATGTCTTGTTATAACCCATAATGGAAAGTAATCTGAAAAACATAAAGTGTTTCAGATATATATATATATATATATATATGTATATCTATCTATTTCTATATTTCTCTCTATATCTATATAGGGACTCACAGACATAAAGAACATAGAAGAGAAATAGTGACTGTGACTTAAGAATTTATTGTGGGTCAAAGACTTTTCCACGTACAGAAGGTGGGGTGTGATCCCGGCCAGGCAGCCCAGAGCGGGCTCCCTTAACCATTATGCAATTCTGCACCACTTTAAAGTCTGATGACTGTCAGGTTCTTTGTCATGAGGACAAAAACAATGGAAATAAAAGAGTAAACTTCTGAGGTCCACAAGATGTCCATGGTCACCCTGCATGTCGTTACAAAGTACCGTAAAGAACCTAGCGTATGTTAAAGGTCTAACTTGTGAAACATCAACCATGTCCGTGAGATCCTATAGCATTCTGTGTCCTCCTGATTCCCACTTCTTGCTTATAAATGAGTCAGTGCTAGATACTGTTTACTGATTGACTCTCAGCATCTATTTTCATCCTCTTCTTTTTTTATATATATATATATATCACAGGGACTGGAAAGCTAAAAGCCACATTTCCCAGACTCCCTTATCAGCAGGATTCTGGATGAATTCTAGCAACAAGATACACTTTTTAAGGTTGTGGAGACAGAGGAATTCCTTTTCATACAGGGGAAGTTTTCCACATTCTCTCACCCAGTCCCAGGTTCACAGGTGCAAGGCAGCTGGACCATCAGCTGTGATTTCCTCAAGTCCCCTGGGGAAGCAGAACAGAGTCTTGACCTTGGGAACAGAGCCACAGACGTATGAACTTGAAGCCTACCTTGCTGACGTCTGCTCCTTCAGGATTATCCAGTAAATTGGCAAGCACCTAATTTCCTGTTTTAACTTCCTCTATACTTCAAATTAGTTTCTGTACCAGTTAGTGAATTAACATCTCTCAGCCTCCAACCTACCCTTCCATACTCAGCTTGTGATACAGGCGTGGGGATTCTACAAACCTCATTCCTGATTTGCCAGCGGGCTCCCTGCAAGGCTCTGAGAATTAAATCTCACGGCCACACCCAGACCCAGGGATGCTGGGAAGTGTAGTCTCTGCCATACATGCCATTAATGAATTTTACATGATTACATTTTCATTCCATCACTGATTACATGTACTTATTTCATAAAACTTTGGGTTAAAGAATGACTATTTTGCTCAAATATATCCTTACCAATTCATCTTTCTTTTAATGGCTCATCAGAACTAGTTTTTTGTGTATTCTATAGGTTAACATGTTAAAAACAACTGCACTTTCCTCCAAATAAATTTCATGGTTAGTTCAATCATTTGTTTCTTAGAAAATGCTGGCAAAATTTTCTATATGTCTCCATCCATATTCATTTTAATTATTGCAGCACAAAAAACAAATGATCCTCAAATGGCTTGGCCCTTATTGTCTTTTACTAACAAATATCAAAAGATGTCTAGCATTCAGTAGCCAGCAGTGGGACTTCCCTGGTGGCATACTGGTTAAGAATCCGCCTGCCAGTGTAAGGGACACGGGTTCGATCCCTGGTCCGGGAAGATCCCACATGCCACGGAGCCACAACTACTGAGCCTGTGTGCCACAACTCCTGAAGCCTGCGAACCCTAGACCACCCGCTGCAACTACTGAAGCCCACACACCTAGAGCCCATGCTCCACAACAAGAGAAGCCACCGCGATGAGAAGCCCACGCACCACAATGAAGAGTAGCCCCCGCTCGCCACAACTAGAGAAAGCCCGCGCGCAGCAACGAAGATCCAATGCAGCCGGAAAAAAAAAAGCCAGCAGTAGGTGCTGTGAAATTTGACAGGGTAACTGATTTGAATATTACATGTTTTTTATAAACTGCCGATAACATTGTAGACTTTTATTCTCATACCCGGTATTCTTAGTTTTTAAAGTCTCACTAATTCATAGCTTCCTTTTGCAACAGCTAAGGTTTCAAGATACCATCATACAGTTAGGGCAAGAATCGTGATTAATGATAGTAGCCTTAGGGAGAAAACTGAAATTTGTTTAGCTTGTCAGATCTGATCACTGTTTTAATTCATCAAGCAGCCGAAGAAAACTTAAACTGGCAGCGTGCGTGTCCAGCAAGGCCACACCACCGCAGCTTCTCCTTACGCTTACGCTACTGTAATCGCAATACCTTTTTTTTTTTAAAACAGAAAAATCTTGTCAAGCCAGCACCTTGTAAGAGTCAGTTTACCCAAAACTAAATATACTCTGTAAACCCATTTAACCAGTAACACAAACGGCAAGATTTCACAATGAGCTTCAAGCAAATGGAAGAGTGAGGGTCCCAGCGTCACCCCTTCTTATCTGTGGGACCCCACGCTTCCCTCCTTCCCTTCCTCCCAGACCCATCCCTGGTTAGCACACCAGAAACAGGACTGGGTGTGCCAGAGCCAGTCCATGTGCTATCAGCAATACTGTGATTTCACAGAACTTTTTTTAACCAAAATAAAAAAAAAAAAAAAAACAGGAGGAGAAAAGAAAATGACATTTTCTACTGGTATCTTAACATATCATCTAGTGCCCCCCTGGGGTGCACTTCGTCACCCACCTTGTTTCCAAGAACACTGATCTCTGTATTACAGAGCTTAGATGTTATTTTGGTAACAGGTGAAACACTCAAAACGGGGATAAATCCTGAGCATTTACAAGCATTTGGGGTCCTAGCCTGGACCTACGTACAGGTCAACTGAAGGGGGTGGATGCCAGGTAATTGATGGTCGTTGAGGTGACCCCCTTAATTCCCTCAGACGTACACAGGAGATGAGGGAAGGAAGCCAGGCCCAGTGCTTCTGATTCGTGGTTCACTTCCTCGGTCCCCGTCTCGTTCGCTTCACCATCAGAGCCTCCCTTTACAAAAAGCGTAACTAACCCTGTCATCTGCTCTGAGCAGTGGCGCTGACTGCGAGTGTGGCCGTAGGTGCCTGCCAGGAACAAGCTCTTGTTAAACGACCCACAGGTGGAATCTCACTGTTGAGCTCCTATCTTCATGTCAAACCACCAAAGCAGGTCACTGGGGACTCTCAAATCAGCTCCCAACCAGGGTCTCAGCAGCAGCTTTAGGCCATGACGGGCTGGGTACATATCTGTACCATTCTCCGTGAGCCGGTGGCACTAGGATGTTGGGGAACTAAGAGCCTGTGCATCCTATTACCACGTAAACGTCATCAACTCCTGACACGTGAATATCATCTTGAGTGTCTGTACTACAAAGAAACTCCTACAAGTCTCCCAGCAACCACCAGGAGTTGAACATCGCCCCTTAATGGAAATCCTAACAGGAAGTCAAACCAGATTAAAACTACCGCATTTTAAATGCACTGTTCTAGGTGAATAAAATAATGTGTTATCACAAAGCAATTTTCTGGGCTTACTATTTTTTATGTCAGTTTGGAATATGTATTGCATTTCTTAATATCCATGGTACCCCTTAATCAAGAGTATAAAGTCATCTACTTAGATTCTTAGGATTTGCCAAAGTGAGGAACATTCTTAGAATCACAGAATGATAAGCAAGTAAGTTTACAAATATTGCAACCATCAATATCATACGTTTTCCAAACCATAACTCTAACATGGATGTATATTATTCTCCAGACCTTGCAAATTCTCAGTGTCCATTTTATCAGTACTGGGAGAGTATGCTTTCAACCATGCAGCTAGCCAGAAAGACTTTTTTATATATGGAGTGTGCTTCTCACAAAAACCTTCTCTCCTTCCTCTAATATGACAGAAACTGTAGCTGAATCTGAAGACAAAGTGAATTTCAATGATGGCCATCACCTAAAAACATACATAAATTCCTATATCTGGTACCAGAGGTAGAGCTTACCATTTTGATGTTTAAAGAAATGACTTTATGACATCCGTTCATAAATAAAAAGAGAAAACACATTGAGTAGTTTTATAATTGCTTTTTTAGTAAAAAAAAAAAAAAATTAAATTCTGATTATTAGTCATAGCAGAAACAAAGGGTTTAACACAGTGATATCAAATACAACTTTTTAAAAGCTACTTACGTCCAAAGAATCCTCCTTCAGTAGGATAAGGGCCATGTTCTGTGACACCAACCGGCAGGAATAGCCTAGAATAAAAGAAGGAGCAACATACGTGAATTTACCATCCCCACCAGGAACTCACCACGTTCAAGGTCCTCTGAATTCAGCCTCCCTTCCTGTACCTTCCTTATCACCGTGTTTGGCCTATGGGCTCACACAGAGGAATTGAGCAAGTGTGGGGAGGAAAACCTTACACGGATTCTGACTTTTGCAGACAGCTCTAGTAGCGCTGCTCGGGAGGGTTTTCATAACTAATGGCTGAAATAAATACTCATCAATTTTCTGTGGATTTTCCTTATCCCTGTTATCTTTGTATTAGGATGAGCTTTGGGTTCTCTAAGGTAAAAGCAAACGCTTTAGGAAGACAAACGGAATCAACGGTGCTCCTCAAGCAGCATAAACGTGCCTACTGTGATACCAAGGTCCCTCACTTGCTTTATAAAAAGGCAGGTAATTCTCACAGCAGGCTTCTAAGGAAGCCTATGATACCCACAGAGTCACTTTTCCTGCGAAAGCTCAAAGCAACCCCCACTTCAAGAAATAACTCTGAGTCAAGAGTATCCCAATGCTAATTCTTAACAATTCCCATTACAGTTTTAGACAATGGTATCTCTGTAGGTTAATTTCAGCAAGATACTCTTTTCCACTTTTCCTCCCGGAAGGCAAACGTATTTTCTATGAAGCTGTTTCCTACTCAGACTTTGCAGTACACGCGTGACAGGTGGAGATGCTCGGTGACACAACGACCAAGGTAAGAGCCTCTCCGGACTCTTCCCCTTGTCCCCACACTCTGGGGAGAACGAGGCAGTGGCCCCAGCCAACCCCAACTCCAGGGGTGTCTGTCAGGGCCCTGGGCTCTCTTTCAAATCACCCTCCACCATCTTGGTGCCCCTCAAGAGAGCTGCCATCAACATGTGCTTTCCACCAAGCTCCATCTTAATTTATCTCATTGAGAAAAGTCAAAGAAACAGTCCTTCCACCTAGAGAAGTGGTCCTTACAATGATCATGGACCAACGATCACAGAAACAGGGAACAAGTCGTCAGCATAAAGAACGTCAACCTTCAAAACAAGGACGCGGGTGACCATCTCAAGGAAGGGCCGTAACCAATGCTTAGGCAACAGGAGTCTGGGTTCTCCTCTGCAAAAGAGCCAAAATACCCCTTCCCACAGATGCTATATTTAACTAGAAGAGGAGACAAGCATTTAACTAGTGGACAAGTCACGGAACTGCTGCGTTTACGTGCTCAATTCTACCCAGAAGGTCCTCTTTTCACCCTCAAGAAACCCTACTAACAGGCACAAAACAGAACTCAAGACAGACAACAAGATGAGAGAAACCTTGGGGTATTTTTGGGGGGTAGAAAATAAATATTTGTGTTTATTTTGGAACGTATGAAGTGTATCCTTCACCGATGAGTGTCATTTGAGAGGACTATTATAAACCACCTGAGAACACAAATTTTAAAGCACAAAATTATGACTTTTCATCTAACTGTCATTTTCTTAAAGCGATACCTTGAAGATCTATTCCAGGCAGTTAACGACAGTTATGTGAAGCGAATGAGATAATTTTGCTGGTTAAAACCTCACGTATCATTTGAAAAGCGAAAACAACTGAATAGTTTAAAATCACAGGACCACATGGGCAAATACCTGTTCAACCTCTAAGAGGAAAACTAAAGGGAGGAAACACAGCACAATTTTCCACACATTTTCAAACTTGCTCAAGTCTGTATTTTAACAATAGTGATGAGTAGAAATGAGAGTTTCCCAGAATGCCACTGAAAATTCTGCACAGCACGATGGAAATAACTGAACTTTGTTTCCCACTAAAACCTTACAAATATATTCTTCCTTTCTATAAATTCTTAGATTAAGTGCAGAAGGGAGGTCAATATTTTATTTTCATTTGCAAACAGGGATATTGGAACTTTCATCATTTTTCTTCCCTTGCCCCAGAAACTTCCAGCAACTTCACGCAATAGAGACTGTTACAAATTTAGTATAACTCACACAAAAGGATTTGCTGGTAGTTTTTGATATGAACAGCGGTTGCAGAAACAAGCTGAAATGTTTAAGCCATCGCTTCCCGCTTGATTTTATATTTCGCAATTTAAGTAAAATGCCACTTGACAACTGAAGCTGCATAAAGATATTATGGAAAAACTCGAAGTATTTTTCTAGCCGTTGCAAGGGAGAGGGTAACAAATAAAACCACTGACACTTTCATGAATTTAAATACACAAAACTCAAGGTTTCTGAGAAGAAACAGGTTCTTTTTTTTTAGTTTGGAAAACGAAGCAAGATTTTGCTTAATTATCACACAGAACACTTGCTCTAGACAGACCATGGAGGTTTAACACAGTTAAATGTGACTTAGCTAACATGGCAAATTAAATTATGTCAATCCAAGTTCGGTGTGCTTGATTTCTAATGTTTTTGGATAAAATGAGATCAGCTCTTGGAGAACAGCCAGCTATGAAATGTCAATCCACACTTGTAAATTGTGGTCTATTTCTTTGATCTCACAATCTAACAAGACGACCATAAAATGACTGAGAAGGGAACCTCTGGGATTTCACTTTTTACTACGGCTGAAGTTAACAGCACACCACAAAAGTGTTTAGTCTTTCTACTACCTGAGCATAATCAACACTCAAAGAAATTAAAATATTACAGCATCTATGGTCCTTAGAGCAGGACTTGATTTTAAGAAAATAAAATCATCATTCACACTAGAAAATAGGACCAAACCAAACCTCTCTTGGAACTCGCAATCAGCGTCTTTTTTCTGAGGTAAGCATATATTGTCGAAGATATCCCAACCTAGATTTCTTCGGAGACGCTTTTGGAAAGGTTAACAACAACTGATTCCTACTAACCATATACCTAGGATCCATCAAATTACCCCTCAGTGGGATTCAACTTGGTTCCAAACCCTCAACAAGTGTGTTGTTGGTTGTAAATAATTTCAGGGAGAAATCTGGTCACTCAATATTTGAAAGTAAGTGTATGAAACACACTGCCAGACGTCAGGAATGGAACTCTTCATCTGCTCCGGACTCGATCAAGGATGCTCAGAGCAGAATCCCTCCCCATCTGAGAACCAGGATATCAAGGACTCATCCACAGAACCACACCTGGGCACCCTTCCCTCCAGACCCTCAGATGCTTCTCAGAAAGGCGCCATCACAGGTAGGAACATGCTGCCTCCGCCTTACCTTCTGATCTTCCCCCAAACCAGGCCATCCTGATTCATGCTATTCTCATTCTTTATGTATTTGTCTTCAACAGATTCTTGAGGTTCAAGATTTAAACCTATCTCATCTGCAAAGCCTTCCCTGATCTTTTTGTGTGTGTGTGTGGTACGCGGGCCTCTCACTGTTGGGGCCTCTCCCGTTGCAGAGCACAGGCTCCGGACGCGCAGGCCCATCGGCCATGGCTCACGGGCCCAGCCACTCCGCGGCATGTGGGATCCTCCCAGACCGGGGCACGAACCCGCATCCCCTGCATCGGCAGGCGGACTCTCAACCACTGCGCCACCAGGGAAGCCCTCCCTGATCTTTTTGACGCCTATCTTTCCGAGAACTGAATTATCACGTGTCATGGTCATATGCTCAGATTCTCAGCACTCACACCTGTGTGGCCCAGGCTAAGTTACTTGGTATCTCTGTGCCTCAGTTCTATCTTTAAAAGGGGATAATGCCTATCTCAAGGGGAATATTAAACTTACCTAAAGGACTTAGCTGTAATATGACAAATGCTGTGCTAACATTTAATGAGTAACTATTACTAACACCAGCCATGCTCAGCATGTACACTGCACAACTGGTATTTTCTTATCTATTTTATTCCTGAGTTTGTCTCAAAATTAACTCAGTCCCCAATAAGGGAACATAAGTGCCCCAAGCCTATAGGGGAGCATCTGGCAACAACGGAGCTGCACGTAATCAAGAAATCACACACCTGACTTTTCTGTGAACATTACTGGGGCTGTGGCCGTGTTCCCCCAGCCCCACCTGAAAACCGGACTTGCCTCCCTGCCAATGGGCAAGAATAGGGTGGGCAAGTCCACATTTACTCACTGTCAGAAATTAAACTTCTAAGACTATAGAAGTGGTTTAAAGGGATCAAATAATGGGTAACAAAACATGGGGGAGGGGCGGCCAAATTCCAACTCAGATGGTTCACCGTGAAAGCGATTCCCAATGCGATGGCTTTAAAATGGAACACGCACTAGGATTTTGTTCTCACTCATCCTATCTCCGTTAGAAAAAATATTATAGACTCTGAAAACTTCACATCTATTTTCTAACTATGTAAGAGATGCTTTATCCAGTCATAGTAAGGAAGTGACGACTACATGATTCACAAAGGCTATACAGCTGAAATTTCACTTTAGACTAGGTGATATCAAATTTTTAAGCTAAAAAAGACAACTTCCAACTCCTGGAAACACAGCTAGTTAGCATAAATCCAAGCACAGCGCAGCAGGGTCCTGGCATCGTGTCAGTTCCCAAGGACCTCAAGCCACACGCAGGATGACTGCATCTACCTAACACTCATAGGCTCATAACAGACATGAATATCCTGGAACCTAATTTGACTAAGTATTTATTTTCAAGGTATGAACTGAAAGTTACACTTTAAATTCTCAAAGTGTGATAGATGATGGATGGATGGATGGATGGATAGATGGATGGATGGGAGGACAGATGGATGGGTTGGAGGATAGACGGATGGAAGGATAGATGGAAGGATGGGAGGATAGACGGATGGAAGGATAGATGGATGGATGGGAGGACAGATGGATGGATGGGAGGATAGACGGATGGGAGGACAGATGGATGGATGGCAGGATAGACGGATGGAAGGATAGATGGATGGATGGGAGGATAGACGGATGGATGGGAGGATAGACGGATGGATGGGAGGATAGACGGATGGAAGGATAGACGGATGGATGGGAGGACAGATGGATGGATGGGAGGTTAGGTGATGGATGGATGGGAAGTTAGGTGATG